GTGTTGGGTTGGGAGGTGAGAAGCAGGTGTGGTGTGGGTTGGGATCGTCCTCCGCGGAGTCAAGAAAATCAAGATCGGTGGGTGAGACCGGATGAGAGTAGGGAAAGGAATGCTCATCAAAGATCACATGGCGAGAGATGATAATTTTGTGAGTGACGAGATCAAGGCATCGGTACCCTCGTTGGTTAGACGGGTATCCAAGGAAGACACAATGGGCCGAGCGGGGGGCGAGTTTGTGGGGTGCTGTGGCGGAGAGATTTGGATAGCACAGACAGCCAAAGACACGAAGGTGAGAGTATGTGGGCTTATGACCATAGAGAGCTTCATGGGGCGTACGATTTTGGAGGGTGGTGGTGGGTAGGAGGTTGAAAAGATGAGAGGCCATATATAGGGCTTCAACCCAGAAAGTGGGTGGTAGTTGGGCTTGAAATAAAAGAGAGCAAACGGTATTGTTTATGGTACGAATTGTGCGTTCTGCCCGTCCATTTTGCTGACTAGTGTGGGGACAAGAGAAGCGAAAAAGAATGCCCAGGGATTCAAAAATAGTACGTAGGGGCCAGTTTCTGTATTCAGTACCATTATCACATTGTACAGCTTTAATAGTAGTGTTAAATTGGTTTTTCACAAAAGCTATAAAAGTATGGAGATGTGAGCAAGCTTCAGATTTATGTCTAAGAGGAAATACCCATAAAAAATGTGAATAATCATCCAAGAGTAACAGATAATGTTTAAAACCAGTAACACTAGTAACAGGCGATTGCCACAAATCAGTATGTAAAAGCTGGAAAGGAAAAGTAGAAATACGACTCGATGACTCAAATGGGAGACGAACATGTTTTCCCAACTGACAGGCATGACAAAGAGAGTGCTGTAAATGTTTAAATGAAGAAGTAGGCAAAAGACTAGAGACTCCACGGAGGACAGCTAGGCTCGAGTGACCCAGGCGACGGTGCCAAGGCTCTGGGCTTCCGGTGGCAACGTTGACCTGGGCTTGGGCAGGGGCGGCTGTTTGGCTCATAGGGTAAAGGGGCCCGGCATTATTGGACCGATGAATCACGGTTCCCGTCAGCATATCCTTCACAGAAAAACCAGTAGAGTCAAAATCAATGGAGCAATTATTGTCACGGGTGAATTGTCTAACTGAGATAACGTTATGGATTATGTGGGGGGAGACAAGGATGTTGTGTAAGCTAAGGGGAGGGGACGTAAGAAATTTGTAATTACCAGTTGCCGTAGTGCGAACTTTAGAACCATTTCCTACAGTGATATATGATGATGAATTTAAAGAATGATTATAAACATGAGAAAGAGTACCTGGGTCCGAGGCGATATGGTGAGTGGCGCCGGTGTCCATGTACCAGGTTGGATCACGGAGGGTGAGGGTGTCAAACTGGTGGGCTAAGGCGGTGGGTGTGG